CTACATTTTGTGAGCAAATTTTTGCCACACACGTCAGAACACTAATCTCCACGACATATAAAGAACTCAAAAAACTAACACAAAAAAAATCAACCCAATCAATAAATGGGCTAAGGAGTTAAACACTTATCAGAAAGTGTCTGACCAACAAATATGTGAAAAAATGTTCAACATCTCATAATTAAAGAAATGCAAATCAAAACCACTCTAAGATTTCATCTTACTTCAGTCAGAATGGCAGTTATGAAAAACACAGACAACAATAAATGTTGGTGAAGATGTGGGGGGAAAGGCACACTCATACATTCCTGGTGGGACTACAAAATGGTGCAGCCAATATGGAAAGTAGTATGGAGATTCCTTAGAATATGGAACCACCATTTGACCCAGCTATCCCACTTCTTGGTCTATACCCAAAGGACTTAAAATCAGCAATACTATAGTAATGCAGCCACATCTATGTTCACAGCAGCTCAATTCACAATAGCTAAACTGTGGAAGCAACCTAGATGCCCTTCAATAGATGAATGGATAAAGAAACTGTAGTATATATGCACAATGAAATATTTCTCAGCATTAAAAGAGAATAAAATTATGGCATTTACGGGTAAATGACTGCAGTTGGAGAATATCATGCTAAGCAAAGTAAGCCAATCCCAAAAAAACAAAGGCTGAATCACTTTCTGATAAGTGGATGGCTTATCACTTTCTGATAAGTGGATGCTGATCCATAACAGAAAGTGGGGAGGCATGGGAAAAAATGGAGGAACTTTGGGCAAAAGATGGATGAACCAGATGGATGGGCAAAGGGGAGGGAAAGTTGGGAGGGGGTATAGGGGCAGGAAAGATGGTGGAATGATGGACATCATTACCCTAGAAACATGTATGACTCTTCATATGGTGTGATGCTACATCTTGTACAACCATAGAAATGTAGAGTTGTGCTGCTATTGTGTACAATGAATCAAAATGCATTTTGCTGTCATATATACCTAATTAAAATTTAAAAAATTAATTGAAAAAAAGGCTAATCTGATGGGATGGTGTTCAACCACTCAGAAAGCAAAATGCAACTGCATGGCCTAGTACCCAAGTGCCTCAGTACCAAAAGCGTTTTCAAAAGATTCTGCCCATGGCACTTAAACCTTTAGATTTCATCTTCAGTTGCTTTTAAGACTGACCTCCTTAAGACCCTGAGGAATGACTCTGGTCCACTCCTGGCCATATACCCACCCACTCGTGATCAATGGTTGTTGGAGCCAATCCTGACTGAAGCAGAAATTATTTGACTTTGGGAGAAAAGCGATCCTGAAAAAAGCCCTCCATGACTACGGGACTCACAGCCTCAGTAAGGTGAGAAAATTCTAAAAAAAAAAAAACCCAAAAATATAGAGGACTTATGTAATATTAAACCAAATACCCCAAGAGGTTGCAAACATTAATGAAAATGATGATGATATGTCCCCCCACTGTCAAGGAGCACAGCCATCCATTTGGTTCCTGCCAAGAAGTGGCAACAGAGCAGTGGAGGGGTGGTCCAGGTGGGCTGGAGCGCAGGCGAAGGCGGCAACCCACCACGCAGGCGCTGTAGGTCTGAGGCACTGCAAACCAACGCTGAGGGGAGCCGAGGCCACCCATCCCTCATCCTTCCTCCACCAGGCCTGGGCATGGCGTGGACACCTGCTGCATATGCCCACTCTGTGCAGCTATGCAGATCCATCCAAGGACCCCAATCTCCTGCTTCCTGACCTGCAGTGAGAAAACGGAAGTGGGGTAGACCAGAATGGAAGTCTGGACTTGAGAATTGACCAATAGTGTTAGTATAGTTCCAAACCTTAATTAGCATAAGTTTGGACCAATACCATTGGCACTTCATTCAAACCCTAATCAGCATAAATTTGGACTAATGGCAGAGACCCAAATGCTATGTGAACCCCTTGAGCAGCAGGTTCAGCTGGAAAAAAAAATGCAATTAGTTAGTTTTTAAAATATAAGAGTTCTGTTCTTGTTCTTCAACATATTTTGTTATACTCATTCTTTCTTGTTTGTGGGGTTTATATATCCAATTCTCGAGATGCAAATTTGAACTGCGGAGGCCTGCTGCAACGTTAGACAGGGTATCTTATCATTAAAAACTGCAGTGCTTCTCAGTTGCAGAGCATGTAGCTTTAGCAGACCTCATGTGCCAGAAGCAGAAAAGCTCCAGTCTCACCCATAACTAGCACAAATAGAGAATGAAGATTTATCTCAAATTCCCCGAAGTATAGAGAAATTAGGTAATGTAAGTTAAAGTATCCCAAAAGGCTGAGAACATTATGAAGAGAGTTTAAACACTAAAGAAGCCTTCGAACATAGGATGAAAGTATAAGTAAAAAAAAATTGAAGGAAGGGGGTGGGTATTGGATCGTAAGTGGGACCATGAAGCACACGCACGCAGTGCTATGCAACTGTAACACTGAAAGACTGAAAAAAAAAAAATTCATTTACAAGGTAAACTATGGCAAAGATGGGGGGAAATTTACCCCTCGGCCCTCAGTGTTGAGCTGATTGGGTAATTCACAGCCATTGCATTATCACCTCCACCAAGGAATTACTGGCAGAGACCCAGTGACTAGAAGTATAGTTTTCAAAACTAAAGTGGTTCTGAAAACGTCTTTGTTCAAGTCCTGGTAACAGGACTCAGGGCAGCGGGTGCACTTGGCAAGCATTAGTACCTCACAAGGGGAGTCCTGAGAAACTTGTGTCAAATGAAGTATTGACAGCACTAAAGTCTGGTCCATGAAAGAACATAGGAGACTGCCCCCAGGTTTACTTCTTTTGGATGGGGCACTTTCAAGAGGCCAGACTTTTAAATTACAAAGCCAACTACAGGCTTCCGCCTATCCCTTTTCCCAGTCCCTTATCACCTTTCACTTTCTTTTATCACTAGAGGGCGCCATGCTGCCAGGTTGGCGCCTGGGCTAAGATGCGCCCCTCCGCGCTCCTCCCGCGCTGGGCTGTTGGCGGAGTCCACGGCCAGGGGCTTGAGGGCAGCCATGTAAAACCGGTCGGGGCCGGCGCCCCGGTCTACCTGGCGGCGGTGCTCCAATACCTGAGGGCCTGAGATCTGGAGCTGGCTGGCAACGCGGCCCGCGACAAGAAGTGGAGCATCAGCCCGCGCCACCTGCAGCTGGCCATCGGCAACAAGGAGGAGCACAACAAACTGCTGGGCAAAGTCACCTTCCAGCAGGGCGCTGTCCTTCCCAACATCCAGGGGTGCTGATGCCCGAGAGCCACCACAAGGCCAAGGGAAAGTGAGGCCGCCTACAGGAGTCCTGCTTTTTGTAAAAGAAACAAAAATAAAAATAAAAAAAACAGAGCGGGGAGATGTAAAGACAAAGCAGTTAGAAACAAAAACCCACATTGCACATCAGTACCTCAGGAAGTCCCTCCTGGCTTTCATTAGTTTGTCATTCTCCTCCTCACTTGTCCACTTTTAGCAAATTATGCATCATTGATTTCCTAAAGCTCAGTTTACAGTGGGTGCATTTTGCCTTTACACGGTTTTGTGGTTATGTGTGTGTGTGTGTGTGTGTGTGTGTGAATGAGCTGGGGATTGAACCCAGGGCCTTGTGCATGTGAGGCCAGCACTTTACCCACTGAGCTACATCCCCAATCCCCAGTTTCATGTTTTTAATGATATTTTAATTGGTGTATTTGGTAAGATTCGTTGTCACATATTCCTAAAGGCACATGCATAATTTGATCAATTTCGTTCCCTAATACCCTATCCTTCCCTCCTCTCCTTCCTCCCCACTGCTCCACTTGCTCTACTGGAAAAAGATGGGTATGTACTAATCAGTTGAGGGTTTCACTCTCTGAGCTGAATTTCCCCAAGAAATCACTCATGCATGGTCAGTAGGATTAAGATGGAAAGGGTCACAAGTTAGAGGAGGCTCTTGCCAGGGCCTCTGCCAGCCACCTCTGCCAAAGCCAGACTGCTGAGAATCTCAAGAATCCAGCAAGGTCTATAACATAATATTATGTAAAACAGCCTATTTCGTTCTGAATGGGAATCTATACCACTGGTTTAGACTGAGCTCTTGCACAACACAGACTCTCAGAGTAAGAGAATCTTGCCTCTGCCATGCATCTACCAGAAATAAGATGATGTGATGGTTAGATGGCTTCTTAACTGTACACAAGCAGACATAAGTCAAAACATTCTATGTGAATTACTCTTACTAAATAGGACCCACTGAGTTATTCCATTCTATTTTAAAGTTTATTTTGTCTTAAAAAAGTTTGATATGCACTTATTGACTAGTGGAATAGAGTTGGATGTAGGAAACAGCCAATCAGAGTATAGGCACTGCATACACAGGACTACAGTGGCTCAGATGGTGATCAGTATTCTGAGCTGAGTCAGGAAAATCCTTTCCTGGAGCTTTTAGACTTGGAACTTGAACACAGCCACTTTTTATTTTCTTTCAGCATGTGAAGAGTGAGACTCCAGAAATGATGGCAGACATTACCTGTAGCTTCTTAGAGAAGATTAAGTGGAGACAGATATTGAGGATGTAGCACTGGTAGAGCACTTGTTGCATTAGACCTAGAGTGAACCCCACAACCATTTTTAAAAAAATCAGCAAACAACAAAATACACCTGTACGCCCATGCCACCAACAGAGCTGCCCTGGCATGAGGTCTGCAAATTCACCTGGAGAACAACACAATCATCCACACAACACTGCAGAAGCAAGCTATTATAAAGGAAAAGGCTTCCCTTAAGACAAGCTCCCAGCTTATTTATACTCTGGTGGAGGCTTGTGACTGTTCTGGACTGCTGCTTGCTGTTTAGCCAATCAGAGAACCTGAAAGATGTCTCTCCATTTACATACACGGCAATATCCAATCACGTGCTGATGTAAAAGCCTCCTTTAGAGCTCCACACCTATAAATACCACAGTTCTCAACAGGAGGTTGCGTCTTCGGATTTGCCTTTCCACCCAGTTTTGGCCATGCCTGGGCTTGCTGCAGGAAGCGATGCCTCTTCTAAAGACCATGTTCCTTCAACTCCTAAGAAGCGAGGTGGTGGAGAAAGCGTAAGAGACACCACCAAGAAAGCTTACTACAACTATGAGATGCCGAAGCAGGGTCACCCAGATACTGGTGTCTCTTCCGAGGCTGGGGGCTCTGTGAATATGTTCCTCAAGGACATCTTTGAGCGCGTCGCGAGGGAAGCGTCGCGCCTGGCGCACTACAACAAGCGCTCCACCGACGCATCCCAGGAGCTCCACACAGCCATGCGCTTATTGCTGCCTCAAGAGCTGGCCAAGCATGCAGGGTCCAAGGACACCAAGGCTGCTACCAAGTACACCTGTGCCAAGCGAGTTTGACCAGTTGCAAAAACGAACGCCACAAACCAAAGGCTCTTTTCAGAGCCACTCAAACTTTCTAAGGAGCTGCACGCTTGGCATCTAATAGGATGGAAAACCAAGGAGAGTACGGAACTCAAGATTAGTCATATGACTAGTTGCACACCTGGCAATACCCTGAACTTAATGTTCTACTTACAATGGGATTCCAAGTTTTAAGGAAAGAAATGCAATGGAGATGTCCAAACATCCTAGGTCTTCATGGGTTTTGCTGTGGTTGAGCCCCATGGGGCACCGAACACTATTTTTCTGGGTCACCCCAGTATGCCGATCTTACATGTAACTGAGTCTCCAGAGCAGCCATGGTTGGCGTGGTATTGGGGTGGGGGGAGTGGTTGTAGGCTGGAGGAAGGGCCCTGTAAATCAGGATAGCTAGCTTCAGGTTGCTGGAGTCTCAGATAATAGGCATTGAAATGGACTGCCTTAAAAAGGAAGGATCACATTACTACTTACCAGAAAACTGGTGTAGCTGGAATCTTCAGTTTGGTTATATTTATATATATATTTTTTAGTTGCTTCTTGAAATTTAGACAGCACCTGTTATGCTCGAATTCGGGACCCTCAAAAGACCACGGGAGACCAAGATCGATGTAAACAGCAAAGAGATGTTTATTGCGAGCTAGCTCGGTCCTCCGCGTGCACACAGCAACAGGTGACGCTGAGAGGCCCTGAGCCCAGGGTTTGCAGCAGTTTTATACATTCTTTGGAGAATGTATACATCATAGCACCTCTTAGCAAATCATCACACACCGCGGGAAAATCAAATAACAACTCTGATGCTGAGAGCCACGGCCGAGTCTGTATGGCCCCTGGCATTTTGCCAGGCACCATCCAGACTTGTTTACGAACTTTAACATTCCCCTGGCAAAATGCCAGGTGTTATTTTGACTTGTTTACAGACTCTAACATTTTTTGCCAGGGGCCATACAGACTCGGCCTTGGCTCTCAGCACTCTAAAACATGATTAGCACATTCACTGGCGGGAACTAGTTGGGTAGGGGTGATTGGTTACTACAAGAGGGGGATTCATTTGAACTGATTGGTTTAAGCCAAGAGGGGTGTTCATGCTGAACTACATGGTTTCCCAACACCATAAACTACTGGGAGGGTCATCTGGCATCCCAGGTATTTTCCTGTCTCAGGCTGATTGGTGTTTGCTAGGGGGTTGCTATGGGTCCCCACCTAGCCTGACTGAGTCAGGGACACCTGGGGCAGCAGATCTTTCCTGTTATTTGTAGATAAACCACTTAGCAGGGGGGGAATGTGCCTAGGAGTGCTCTGTGGGTCTTTCCAAGGACAAAGGTCATGTCCCTTCCTTGGACAGGCTTTGCTCTGAGATAGAGGCTGGTTTTTCATACCTATACTAAGGTTAGGCACCGGTGGCCAAAAGGAGGCAGATTAAAAGCTGCTGAATGAGGCTTTATTGAGGTTTGCTCCCAGGTGAGATCCTCCAGTCCAACAGAGCGGGTCGGGGGAATTGCACCCAGGCTCAACAAAGTTGGAATTTTTATCAGGCTTAGGGCAGAAAAGGAGGTCTTGGGACAGGAAAGGGAGGTTTTTAGGATCCCTTGTCCTCCTGGGGTTGGTCAGGGGACCTTGCTGATCTCCATGTCCTTTCAGGATTAGTCAGGAGACTCCGATGACTGACAGGTGGTACAGGTTTCCTGGTGCTTTGTTCCCTTAGCCACCTCAAACTGATCTAACATCTGTGTCTTTAAAAATGTTTTAAATGTTTTCTTTTGGAAATTACAGTTCTCTTTGAGATGTCCACAGCTTCTGAGGAGGAGCTGTGGTCACAGTTCAAAAAATATTTCAGTAAATCGCTTATATTCAATGCAATAATTGCAGGTGCTTAAAAATGCTACTGTTGATCTATCATCCTCAATTAATTCAAATTCTCTACAAAGGCATTTTAATAAGTAAAACAAAGTAGAGCTTTTTTGTTGAGTGCTGGCTGTTTTTCATTTATATATTCAGAAAGCTATAATAAACAGTAAAATAGATGAATACTCATTGCAGTAGGATGATATAAAAAAGGGGGATTAAAAACAAATGAAACTGGGAACAAACAAGGATATATAAGCTTCATGTTAAAGCCCAGAGGGGGAATGAATGTACCCGATTATTCTCTAAAGTGGGCAAATGAAGAGCAGAGGGATTAAGGGAGCAATTTTGCTCTAATATGAAGGAAACGGTCTCACTGTTGTGAGTCAGGTACTCCAAACATCGAACCTGGGAGCAATAGCAAAGAGCAACAATACCCAGAATTCAAATACACGAGCTGCGTAGCAGAGTTGAGAGTTTTTGAATCCTTTTTCTACAACATAAACTAAGCAATACATTTTTCTATATGAATCACACCCAGAAATACACATACATAAGCCAGAATGAATGTTTTCAGAAACAAAGAGCCACTGTGGAAGGATTCTGAGGTTTCTATTCTAAATTATCCTGTGCTATTGCTTTCTCAGGTATCCTGCTTCACAAGAGGTTAATGACCTGCTATTTGGAACAAGACTGGGATGTTGGGGAATGTCCCCCGGGCAGTCAGCTCAGCACTCAGTGTTCTCAGTAAGGACTGCACTGGCTGGGCCTCGCCAGGGGTTCAGAGCATGGGAGGACTACCAAGCTCAGCCGCTAGGAGCTTTCTGAGGATTTTCAAACCTGGGAGATTAAAGGGATCCCTTCCATTTTTACTTGCTCCATTTCAATGATGAGTTTCTTTCATTTGTAAGCAAATCTCTCTTGTAAACTGAAGCAATGACTTTAAAGTTGGAACAACAAAACCCCCGCCCCAGCACCTGGTCAATTAAATGTATCTGCTCTTAGCTCCACCCCTCGACCCATCGCTCTTTTTGGTGAAATTAGACAGCCTGGTTCTTAACCAGGGAATGCCGTAGGACAAATAAGGAGTACAGAAGGATCATGAAATGAAGCTGAAGCATGGGATGTTCCTCTTTCTCCTGATACTATAAAGCAATTAAATGACAAATTACAAGTGAAACAAGGGGGTATGGATGACCCTTTGAGAAAATCTGGGGATCATCAGAACATCCTGATCCTATGGGGTGATTAATCCCAACACTATGTTCTCAGTTTTTCATCTCTCTGAACCAAATACCTGACAAGAACAACCTAGAGGAGGGGAGGTTTGTTTTGGCTCACAGTTTCAGAGCATTCAGTCCATGATTGCCAATTCCATTGCTCTAGGGAGAGAGAGCCTCATGGCGGACAGGTGTGGCAGAGAAGTACATGGCAGCCAGGAGAAGAGAGAGGGCGAGGGAGAGACCCTGTGAGAGCAGCAGAATGGACGGACACTCGGTTTCTCTGTTGACCCACGATTCTTCTGAAATCCTGAAGCTGACCAAAACTGGATCATACTTAACTAGATTTGAATTTAAAGTCTTTCTATAGGGCAGGAATAAAATTAACACCCTATAGTCTTTTCCAACTGTAATTATACTTTCTTGTAGGGTCCAAGCAAATTCAGCACTGTTAATCAACCAGCAATATATGACCATGGTGCAACACTGAAATCCCGTGATGCTGGGAGTAAAAGCTAAGCTGGCTGCCTTCCCCTGGAATATAACAATGTTATGGACGTTGAGGACTTTGCCCCTTAGAACTATCATAGCAAGGCCTGAATGTAAGACATTTCATTCCTAGAGCCTTTCTTCTCATTCCTCTTGTTGCCAGCCATTCAGGTTACACTTATACTATAGTTTTGTATCTGAGTACTTTATGGGTAATGGCAGGATCTCATACCATCTAAAGGGCCCAAGTCAACCTCAAAGCCAACGATGAGTAATGATAAGTGTCTTCATATGAGACCGAAGCAGAGAAGACACACAGAAGAGAAGGTGATTTTTAGACAAAGGCAGAATTGGGATGGTGCCTAATTTTCCTGGCAGCAATCAGAACTAGGGAAGGGACAGAGGACAAATTCTCCCCTAGAGTATTTAGAAGGACCCAATCCTGCTAAAACCTTGAATTTGGAATTTTAAGAGGTATGACACAAATGGCAAAGGACTTTATTTACATAGAGAATATACAAAATGTTCAAAAATCAACATAAAAAAATAAATCCAATTACAAAGCAGACAAACACCATGAATTTTTCACAGAAAATGAAAACGGTGAACATTTCACTGGGAAGGATGTGCTAATAAGCCCACGGAAGTATGCTCAACAGCATATGTCATTATGAAATTGCAAATTAAAACTACAGTGAGATATCACTTCACATGTGTCTGAATGGCTAAAATCCAAAACATGGACATCACCAAATGCTGGTGAGGATGTGGGAAGAGGAGCTATTTCTTTGCTGGTGGGAATGCAACAGGGTGAAACCGCTTTGGAAGGCAGTTTGACAGTTTCTTATAAAGCTAAATACTTTTACCACGTGATCCAGCAGTTGTGTTCCTCCGTTTTTATCCAAATCTATTGAAAACATATATCCACACAAAAACCTACCTATAAATGCTTATAGCAGCTTTGTTCACAATTTACAAAATCGGTAACAATCAAGATGTTATTCAATAGGTAAATGAATAAATAAACTTCTATGTCCATACAAATGGAGTACTTACTATGCACTGACTAAAAAACAAGACAAAAAAAAGACATGGATGAACCTTAAATACACATTGCCCATTAAAATGAGTTATTCTGAAAAGACTACATATTGTACGAACCCAACTTAATGACATTCTGGAAATGACAAAACTATAGCCAGAAAAAAAAAAAAATCAGTGGCTGCCAGATGTTTGGGGATGTGTTAGCATAGTAGTGGAGGGATAAACAGGTGGAACTTCTACAGAATACTATGAGCTAGCATTACCCTATAATCAAAGCTAGGTAAGGGTAACACAAGAAAAGGTGAAGCTAATCCCAATTGCTAGAATAGAGGAAAAGTCCCAAACAGAAAACAGAGAATTTGATCAAACATTTTATTAAGGAAA